AATGTATCTCCTCTCATATAGGCCTGTTACCGAGTAGTGGAGTGACGAAGTATGGATGGTTCTGTAGCTCCTGGTGGGATCCAACCTACACTGACCAGAGTTCACTCGCTCTGCCGCTTCTCCCTATTAGCTTGCCCTTGCTCAAATGGGATTTTCATCCCAAATGTTGCGTAAGTTCGGCCCATGCATAAGCAGTCTAAAATGATTTTTGGGCCACGCCTTCCGTTCTTGCGTTCGGTTTCGTTCTCTCCAAGGAAACTGAATCCTACCCAAAAGAAGCTCATTCAGCGTTCTGAAGCGACTGAAATGAGCCCATATGAGCTAGCTCTCAGCTAAGCCTGTACAGGCCACTTTGTGGAGACCTGTGAGTTCCCATTAGTAAAGTGACTTACTTGCTCCACTTCGCAGCTCCACAGAAGCTCACGGGTCTTACCAAAGGAAGACCTGTTACTTACATGATCACTGAAGAAACTGGCGAAATTGCAAAATTCCCCCTCCAAGCAGGACAGCGTCGAAACACTTTTGTTTGATAATTTATTCTCCACAACTATCAATGACCATTCTCCATCGAGCGCGCAGAGAATGAACACCTTTATGGTAGAAATAGAAAAAAAGAAAAGAATCACCAAGAAAGTCCAGTTTGCATCTTAACAACATAAACTCGAGACAAATGCGGAGCCCATTGACCCTTTTTTACTCTGATCAGTAAGGAACCTACATGTGTTATTGGTTAGCCACCGTTGCAATCGCTAACATCATAGAAACACGAAACTGGTTGCCCTTTTTGCCACTGTTTGACTTTGAGAGGATTAGCGGGGCACAGTTCCCTTTATTTTTCTTTTTCGTTCCCTTCACTACTTGTTAACATCCTGCGTTTTTTTTCGGTATAACGAGAAATTCAAAAACGTCTATAATTTTTCCATGGATGTAGAAGAGGCGTGGCATTCCGAATAGGGTTTTATCTATGGCGGATGTTTTATACTTTTACACAAAGGACAATAACTACCAATACAGTGTTTCTTTCATTGAATTATTACTTTTCATTGCTTCATTTTACATTATTCTTTTTGTCATTTTCATTATTTTTTGCATTTTCTTATTTATATTTCCTGCATATTATCTATTACTCCTATGGATGAAGTCTTTGCCACTGATTGATCTATTTTGGGATGCGCCACGCATTCCGCATTCCCCCGCCCACTAGGAATCCAATAAGCAGCGCGCCTAATACGACGTGCCGACCTGTAATATGAACTTATGAGCAGCCATCAATGTTGAAGTCCAGTGTTTTTATCCCTCCCAAAAGCGCATCTGGGTCCGATTCTGCTTCCCGGAAGATAAGAGGCACAGGTTAGCACAGGCGAGAGCTGAGCTGGGGATAGATCCCCAGAGCGCGCGCGTGGTAAGCGTGGCACTTGTCACTACACTACCACCGCCTCACCCTGCTTTACTGTCACTTATATGATGTCACCTTGGCTTAAAAAAGTTCTGCACTTCTCCACTATCAAACATTTGCCTGGTTTTAACAATACTCGGAAAGTTCAGTCGATTGCTTCTTCTTGAAGGTTTTCCATCCTCTTCCTCTTCTCGTTTGCTATGGACAACTCATTCAGTTACATATTTGAATGGTTTTTCCCACCACAACCAGCAAAGCCTTCCTCCAGACTAAGGAGGAGGTTGTGGAATTGTGAGTGGCACACTTACCACGCGCACCGTGCGGGGAGGGGGGAAAATCCCGGATCGTCTGCGGCGAATTTTTTTGAAGCTGTTTACTCGCCCTACTCAATGTACTCTTCCACGGAAATGAATCATGAACGCTTCGTTGGAAACGCTCCCCCTCTCTCTGGTTCAACCTTTCAATCGTTCAGTTTACGCGCGCTGTATAAGGCAGAGACCATACTGAACAAGAAGCGTACAAATCAAACTTGTCCAATTGATCCTCCAAAAACCTTCAGGTTCATTCTGTTCAGCGGTCCAAATACAACTCTTTCGTCGAGCATCCGTTAAGGATGACGTGCTCTGTTGGCAGGTTTTCATGCCAAGAAGTTGTAAAAAGTCTAAATCTGTTTAGTTCTATAGAAACCTGAATCTAAAGGTTTGGTAGCCTAAAAAACTTTCTTTTGGTTGAATTTTCGTTTTTCTTGAAATACTGTTGCTAGATTCCTGTGGGCTTTTTCAATGTCATCTAATAAGCCTTGAGTTTTTTGGACTTCAGAAACCCACTACCGTTTAGGAGCCGTCAACTCCAAGGTCACCGAGTGGCCTCTTCAATCTAGATGTGATGAAGGAAGCAGAGATTGTCGGGGAACAATCGCATCGTTCAAGTTATGACGCAAAGTACGAAAGAGAAGGGTTTAGTTCATTTCATCCGAGTGGCTGCAGATCAATTGGTTCCTGGTGCGAATGTCGCGCACGTGACCCGGATGAATCGAATAACGTGCGCGACATTCTCGCCAGTACCGAATCAATTCGACTTGGCAATATTGAGTGCTTCAAGTCACAAGCTAGGAAATTCTCCGCTAGTTAATGTGCACCGCCGCGACTCGGATGTCCTGAACTACATTCATCTATTGTGACTATTAGTATTAAGGCCTCAAAATTGGATTATTCCTTTGCAGATCTTCTGAGGAAAAACCACTGCAGCCAAGTCAAATCAGTATGGATGAGATTTTCTGTACGAATGCGACCAAAGGCGATGACACCACCAAAGAGTGCAACTGTAATGCATGCCTTCTTACGAAAATGAGTGACGAAGAAAGGGCAAAATTTACTAGGCAACCATTAGAAAGGCCGAAAGTCGCATCTCCAAGGGAAGACTCAGAGCAACGTCCCGTTCAGTGAAAGATCACACAGCCTGTGGAGTATCTCCTTGACGACGTATTCGCCTGGGAGTCATTGAGCCAAGGAAGCACTTGACCCCGAGAAGAATACTAGCCAACGAGCTAGGATCTTAGTCCAGGCGCATGGGTTATTGGAAAAACGTAATCAATCTGAACCTACGGTGCACTTTGCGCCAAGGTCCAACAATGAATGATTCGTCTTCGTCGCTCCCGAGCTCCCAGATCGACTTGGATGAAGTCTTCCCTAGTCCGAAATTGAGCCCTTCACCTCCAAGTGTAGATACGAAAGCTCAGCCTTCAGGATCTGAAGAAGTGATACTAAAGCCGAGATGGTCAATCTACCCCTGCACGTAATCAATCGCAGCCTCAGGTTTCCACTTCTGTGAGAGGAGAACGAGCAATAACGACCAGAGCTCTGATTGGGTTGAAGAACTGGTTCGAGACGACACCGCACGGACTTCCCAAGACGTTCGTCCTGTCAAGCGACTCCACCCACGACAATTACCAACGCAGTCCGCAGGAGCCGGCACGATAGATTACAAGACAACAGCACTGACTGGAAAGCCCACGAGGTCATCAAGAAGCGGCCAAGTGAGAAGTTCGTTGAAAAGCTCCACAATGGAGGACTCAGAACAGTGGCTAAAGTCCTTGGTGGGGGAACCCGATAAGCCCGTAGAGGTTCCAGTAGACAAAGCACCACCCATGAGCGAAACGAATAAGTCCCAGAAAGCTTCAGAGGATAAAGTCAAGCGTGAAACTCCAGATATGGAAGCGACTCGTAGCAAAACCGATCAGGAGACCAAGAAGGATCCGCAAGGTACGGGGCAAACTTTTCTGTTATGAAAAGTAGATTCAAAATTCAGAATGTCTCATAATTTCTCTATGTTCTCTGGTTTAGGATAGCTCCGAACAAACGAAGGCTGTTGATGTTCGAAATCAGCTCGAATCGAACGGCAAGGAAACCGAAAGACAACAATGGTATGTGGCTGAAGGCTTCTTTACAAAATGCAGAAATAAGCTGAGAGGGGGAATATCACGCGACAGCAGCAAGGCATGGAATCTAATTGGTACTTCATAACCCAAGCCAGTTTACTCGTTACCATAGTTTTTTCTCCCTCAGTCTCTGAGTCAGCCAGGTCCTGGTGGAATACCTGGCATGTGACGCCGCTTGCAGGTCTGCATGGCCGCGCGAGTGTTTTATTAATGACTGAAATCTGAGGTCGCTTATCCAGAAAATTGGAACCCCAAGGCTTTGTGTCATTTTGCGAATAGCACCTTCAACGGCCGAGGAAAATAAGGCAAAAGCCCAGACCGGTTCTAAGTTCTAACCTTGGTTGGAATTGGATCCTCCAGCCCACGCAGGTAGCTTAAAAGCAAGTGGCACGATAAATTGCCAAGACGTGTAGGATTTTATACCTAAGGCGGGGGAATTAGGCGCTCCCTGAGCAAGGCGCTGTTTGGCGGGCCTCTTGCCAAAGGGAGTTTACATTTATAGCTGCCCTATCAAGCCTGGAATGTTAACAGGACCATGGATTCATCGCGTTCGCCCTCTCATAAACGGAACGACCGATGTTGCTTGTTGCTTGTTTATCGCTTCATTTGTGAAGTACAGTATGAAGCGAGAGGATTAAAATGAAGCGGCTCTCGTGCTGCATGGATATATGAGTACATGCATGCAGCCGTATCTACTGTAGCGGTATTGGCGCGATGCCAGCGGGAAACTCGTCCAAAATTGCTTTACGAGTTGTAGAAAAAGTTATTCACCCCGCCCCCTCCCCCGGCTTCACCTTCTCGCTTTCCGCCCGGGTTCTACTCAACATGTGACACCGGCTACCATTTTCATCGAGTACTTTATTCGTGTTTCATCCCTTGAGCTGAATTTTGTAGAGAAGAAGTTTGAGTGTTTTGCCAAAGTCCACATCGTTATGCAAGACGGAATTTGTGACCGCAATTAAAGCCTCACTTTTCGTCACGAGCGCGTGCTACCTCAAAAAATGCGCGCTGGAGCACCATGGGATGCGATGGCGCGTTGCAACTATTATAGAATTTCCTGTGTAGTATTTCCTGTTTCCTGTCGGCGAGCTTCCACGTTATATCAAAGAAGTCTCAATGCGGATGTCACGTAAGCGGCACCACTAGTCAGCCGCTTTTCTTGACGCACAGGTCTCCCGCTCGTTATCTTCGCCCACGCACAATCTACTGACCAGATCCTGGGTAGACTATGGGAAAATTCTTCTACTTCCAAGTTTGCTAGCTAATGTTATATTTGTCTTCTAGAACTGAAAAAAATCCTGGATTTCAAGTCACTACCGCAAGTTAGATGCTCTAACAGGGCCATTCCGCGCCGATATTCCTATGGGCGGTGCACCCTGTAAACAGTCTTTCCCGTATGTCGCCCACCATTCTTCTTAATTATATCGTTTGAGGAAGACTCCTTTCTATGAGTGGAAAATGATGGTTCGAGTTACCCCTCCCCTTCCACTTCTGCGCTGGAAGTTTTTCTTATCTAGACAAGTTCCGAATAATCAACCAGCCTAGGGCCAGCTTGAGCCGTCCTATGTCACTTGTCATCGTTCGTTACGCTGTAACACAGTACGCTAAAATTATGTTTGAAGGGCTTATATTGCCCAGACACAACTTGATCCAGGTCCTAATTTGCAAATCGCCGCGTGAGACACTGGCGTCACTTATCGCGTCTCATCCTCTTTCTAAATGAGTGGAAGATTACTTCAAAGGAACAATGCACCATAATTTAGTGCTAGGCTAAAATGATAGAAGGGGTGCTATATAAAGGAGAAATGGTGGAAAGAGCGAAGTGAAACAGTCGAAAAGGCTGCAAAAAAGGCCATTGTTTGTCACGACTAAGGATTTATTTCGGAACGAGTTCCCGTTAGGTAGTGGCCCTTACAGTAGGTACCATTTGCATGTACTGTACATATACCTGCACTGCAGGCGCTTCATTTCAATCCCTTCGCTTCATGTTTACTTCGCAAATGGAGCGACACGAGCATCAGAATCGGACGGACACTTGTGGGCGGGCGAGCGCAGTGGGCGTCCGGGTCGGTATGTTGTAGCCTTAGAGGGCGCTGGTACATCCCTCGTGAAAGCACGCAGCGCATGTAAAGGGCGCTGATTCTGACGTGCTAGGCGTAGTAATCCTACACGACATGCGGATTATCCTGCCACTTGCCTTGAATTTGCCGATCACCGACTGGATTCCACGGGATGTCAAGCGAACGCCTGGACGACCGCCTATGCGATGGTCAGACTTCTTTGTGAAAGCTCTGAACGAATGGTATGAAGTTCATCGTGTCCTCGAGCAGAGGGAGAGAGAGTGTGTGTGTCCATCTGGGCAACACTTGCACGTTGCACAGACGAATGGAGACGTTACTGGCGCCCGCTCGAGGAACTCGATGACCAACGGGAGCACAGATGATACAGGTGATCCTGAAGGGGAACATTTTGCAATAACTCTACTCACGGGCGAAGGGTAATGGAATGGGCGCACCCTAGTCTCTGCGCATTCGCCACCCACCCAGCTGCGCGAAATGTGCATCAGTTGAAGGAAATGTCCGCGATTGCTTTAGGAGGGCGGTTGTTTCCAGCGTCATTGGTTGAAGGCTGCGAGAGAGCGTAGGCCATCCCACCCATCCCACTTAGCACTTCGATCAGTCACCTCGATGACAACGCTTCTCCCCCCCGTCTTCCCCCCCCCTCCAATCTTACTCGCTGCCTGTTACAGATAGTGTTATAGGTAACGCTCTGGCCGCCCATCCCTTGACGAAGACCCAGTGAAAATACATCATCCCTCTGGTCGAGTGTCACTCGTTGGAGATGTTCTGAGGAAACCTAGTGTACTTGAGGAGACGTCGTTTAACACAGGTAGATTGGGGTTCCCAATAGAAAAGGCTAGACTTTTTATGTGTTCCGTTCGAGCTAAGACTTTCATTTACCAATTTTTCTCGATTTCCATTAATCTGTTGCTTTCAGATCATCTCTCTCCAAAAGACTACGTCTCTAAGGCATACACTCAACGTTTGTCTCAGTTGAAGATGGAACTTGGCCTGGATGAAGACGAAGCCAAGGAGCGCGCTGAACAAACCGCAGCCAGCTCCGGTCAGATGGCGACGACGTCTTCTACAGGCACAGTAGAACCCGAACAGTCTCCGTCTCAACAGCCAGAGGAGGCCGTCGATCAGGCTTCTGCTGACGAAAAGCTCATTAGTGACGAGGCGCTTATCGATGCGATGTTCAGTGAAGTGCTCGATGGTGAGGCAAGTGAGAGGACGAGTGTAGGAACCGATTCCCTATCACGAAAGGTCGCTATCCAGGATTCATCGGCCTACGTCGACTCCAGGCGAGGTCAAAAAGAAGCTTGAAAAATTATCAAGTTTTGATAACTGGTACGATCAACCGGAGGCTCATGAGGATGATGAGGAGGTGGAGGAGTACGTGTCCGATCTGCTCAGCCAATCGATGAGCGAAGCAATCTTTTCAGCGTCGAAATGTTTGAAAAAAGAATCGACTGAGAGAAAGAGAGGGCTATTAATCACCGACACATCGTTCGACAAGCCGCTGATACAAAAGCTGAAAGGCGAGAGCGTAGAGGATGAGGATGGCCAGGTTTTGGATGGAAGTAAGAAGAGCGCCATCGTTGAGGTCGACGAAGAGAATCAGGGAGAGGACCCGATTCTCAAGGCTGTGTTCACTTCGAAAATTGAAAATCCACAATTCTTGGAATCAGTCATTTCCTATCCCCCGTCGATGAATTCTCCTCGATACACCTCATCCACCATTACGACACCGGGCACAGCAAAGACGAAAGACGACGCTGACGTCTTCTTTGCCTCGCAGCCGTCACCAGTTCAAGCAAATGATGCCGACACCACCTACGTGTCGAGCGCAAGTGTGATGATGAACGATACGCATTCATCTTCTGAAGGCGATTACGATGACGATCACATCATTAAATTAGTCTTTTCCGAGCTTCCTGATAAGGCCAAACGTGGCGCGGTGAAAAGCGTCGAAACGGCAAGGGTACGGCTGCCTAATATGGAGACTATGGAGGAAACAATGGAGGAATCATGCCAAACGCCAAACAGTTCAGTGGATTCTGAGGTGAGTGCACTTTCAAATACGGTGGTCTCCTTCTAGAATTAGACACGTAAAAAGCAAATAGCAAAGAGAGTACGAGTTATATCAAAAGGGAACGGGTTCCGAATGGTCTATCAAAGGTGAGGTTAGGCAAATGCTGATTCCCAGAGCTGAGGCCCTTGTTCGCTGCGGATAATAGGGCGTGTCAGGGGGTTGGTTTTGGCGTCACTGACACGCAACATCACTCGCAGCGAACAAGACCAGTAGCACAGGAACTACGGGCTCATGACGTGAATCTCATTAGGTCATCCCATTCAAAAGTGCCGCCACATATAGAGGAATGGCAGAAAAGCAAAGGGGATAGGGCAGCAGGCTACTATACCATTCCGGAAAGCTTAGTACCTTTAACTTATTGTATCTGTGAAATTTGTGCGAACCGTTCGCGGAGAAGAGTTCTCGAGAAATTGAAAGAAGCCCGAGTATATGAAGATCGGCTTAATAGATTTTTAAATCAGGCGTCATAGAGGAAAGTGCCCCGCCCCTCCATGCCTTAAATTTGACTTGCGCCGGACTTAGTTAGTTGTGTGTAATGGTGTTCTCAAATGCCAAGGGTAAAGGTTTGGTTCGGCCCGAAGAAGGAAGAAAGGAAAAAATTTGTTGTCGTGTGTAGTCCTGAAGTGTTCATACTGTACAAGGAAAAAAGGGTGGATGAAGTCAAGCGCTGATTGTCTGATCCCAGAGCCTGGACCTTTGTCGAGCTTCCCGTTTAGTCTTGACATCCCTGTGCTGCAAACTCCTGGTTTTTCCCGAGTTGTCTGCTCCATAAACAACAGGTATGGTCAAAGGGTCCGGTGGGAATTAATCACGCGGTGAACATTTTCCGCCTGTCCGCTCACCTATTTCTTGTTAGGAAGCTGAAAGCAAGTACCGATTCCATGCCTCCTCGCGCCGCGTCACACCTCGCACTCTCTCATCACCGCGCTCGAACCTCCGTCTGCTCGTTGCCACCACCCCTGTTGCGTCTAGATGAAATGTGGGGTGGTCTGGGACTCGAGTCAAAACTCACAATCGTCAATTTTGTATGAATGCAGATGAGAAGCCGTCTACCATGAAGAGTTACGTGGGCGCAAGTGGATGATCATCATAGCAAAGGATTCCCACACTGTGGCTTTCAAGCGGCTCTATACAGAGAACAAATCGTCGCTGTCGGTGTATATTGCCTGTTCTCGGCAATCAGATCGACAAATGGATGTACCACACAACTACAAGAAGGCCACCGTTGCTCGTCATAGTGCCAGACCCCGAGTAACTGTATTGTAGGGCAGTGCTGGGACACAATACTGAGACCTGGTCTAATACTTCTGCGCCAACGAGGTTTGTGGGTGGATCTTTATGTTACTTGCCGTTAACCGTTTGAATAAAGATCGTAAATAAAGATTCACCTACAAACCTCGTTGGCGCAGAAGTATTAGAACATCAAATTCACAACGATACTGATGTTTTACGAAGAGAGAAGTTGGAGACTGAAACCTGGTTCAATCACCTCAGTTCGCCATCATTCAAAGCCGTTCCGTTCGATTCCAACTGTTCTGGTCAGTCGAGTACTCTCCGACGGCAAACGCTACAATGTTTTGTCATTCGCCGAAATTGGCATCAACAGCAATTTACTCGCACTTGTTGAAAAATCGAAGGTACCAGAGGTCCAAAGGCTTTCGGAGCACTGGGAGTCATTGAGGAATGGATTTTCTTAACTTGGAAGCCAAAATATTACTTTCTTTCTGTTTGCTCCCTTTTGTTATTCGAATAAACACCGGTTTGGCACTTTTGAATGCGAATGACCTAACTAGCCTGTTCAGCTATTAACTTCTGTATTCTAAACTGAACCGTGGTCTGTGAGTGCCTCAGTGTCGCCGTCCCGCTCATTCGCTGCTATATCAATCTTTGTCGCCTGGTCTCTCCTTCATGCGTCCACTGTCTTCGGCTATCATCACTCAAACATACTTTCAGCCCGGGCACTGATCAGTCCCGTTATCACTAAGCTATGATGGAAATTGACACTTTATCAACCTGCATCCTTACCCTCAACGCAGTGAAGCGAACCTATATCCTCTTGAATTTTTGGTCTCCTCCCAAATCCGATGTCAACTTTTTATCCACCAGTACCCTTTCCCTCGTCGGTGGTCCCTGCGACAAATCTTGCGCTACCGTTGAGTTTTCCCTTGGAGTCAACCCAACTATTCCCGCTCTCCTATCGCGGAATAGGTACTCAATGATTCCGAAGGCTAATAATAGGTGAAAGATTGAATCCAAGCAAGACTAGCTCGTAACCCGTCATTCAGTAGAGTACATTAGTCATTTTTATAAGCGACTACGACGTGATTCTCGAGAGACTCATTTTCGCAGCACTTGAATGATACGCAGGGAACCACTTCTGAGACGATATTGTTAATACAAAAAAATCTGTTTGGCTGACACTCACCGTCGCTCCCATCACGCTGCAAACTCTGCAAAGTTCACTACCGAACGGATACCTGTGCTGCGAACACTTTACTCCCATCTTTCCTATGAACTCGAACCACCGTTTCCCTCTTTTCCTGTCGGTAATCATCCCTTCTGATCATCTTTCAATACAAATTTTTGTCATTTATCAGAAATGAAAGCAAGAATGCCGCGATATGGGCGAAGACAGAATTAGCTGGAATTTATATCCCTCCTGACCGTAGTTATTGTACTGCCAACGCACTTGTTGCAGAAGTATTTAATGCCATTCTCGTTTTTTCCTCAGAATTGAGGCCACTGATAAGTGATAATCACTATGACCTTGTGAGGCATCGATAAGGTTTGATACACTTCTGGTCCACTTCTGTTCAAATTGAGTGCAGCAATCCTCATTTGGGTTGGGATTTATTACCCTATCCTCTCTCTCTCTCT